GGGGGAAATTTCTATAGATTTAAATTAACCACTTTTCCTCTGGAAGGTTTTACCCCCTACATACCAGGGTATTTTTTTTGCTATCCAGCACTGTGCTACATTAACTGGTGATAGTGTGGCAAAGCTGTACCCAAATAACATTTATAAAATTTTTATCACACAAAGAGAGCTTTCTTTGGAGGGTATTTGATCACCACTAGGTTTTTTTTTACTATATAAATGAAAAAAGACCAAAAAGTTTGAAAAAGAAACAATATTTTCTACTTTCTGTTATAAAGCATTTCCAAGAAAAAAAAAAAAAAAAATTTTTTTCACAAATTTAGGCCACCATGTATTCTGCTACATGTCTTTGCTAAAAAAAAAAATCCTAATAGGTGTAGGGTACATATTCTGCTATTTAGGCAGCTATGACACTATACTGGTAATGGTGGTGATCAGCGACTTATTGTGGAACTGTGATAGTGTGGCAAGCAATCTGGCACTAACAGACCCTCGCTGAAAGATACATTAGCTGACTGACACTGACATCAATAGTGACACTAATACAAAGATCAGATATAATATTGTACACTGTCACTGTACAAATGACACTGGCTGAGAATGGGTTAACATCAAGGGGCAATCAGGGGGTTAACTGTGTGCCTAATAAGTGTAATGTGTGTACTATGTGCTGCTTTTACTCATAGATCTGGCTGCTTTTTCTTCCCGCGAAGCAGGGAGAAGAAACAGCCAGATCGCTGCTCTGTGTATGTGTGTGTGTTTGTAAACACAGGACTCTGTGAAGTAATTGGACACAGCTGATTAGTAGATCTCAGCCACAAATCATTGGCTGATACCTTCCGACAAAATCGTACTGTGTCCAACCACAGTGTGGGTCAGCAGGGGGCGAGCGCATGTGCGCCCAAACCTGGAATCAAGCCAGCAATGTTTATTTATGTTGCTGAGCCTGCAGCTGCCATCCGCTTGCAGTAAATCAACTGTGACTGGGTGGAAGGTGATTAATGGAGGGCTCTATCCAGCCCCTTACAAGAATCCTGAATCTTTATGATCTTTTGTCTATGTGGTGTGCAACTGCTATCTGCTCCTTAGACTAAAACAGTGTACAATGCAACATGGCCATGCTTGGCTCACATTGGTGCTCCTTCCTTGCTTAGTCTAATACTTAAAGTGGAATTCCATGCTATTCCTAACAAAGCTTAAACTTGATCCTACCCCCTTATAAATTATATACTAAATACCCTGTGAAAGGAGGATGGTTATACTTACCTATTCTGGGGGCACTCCAATCCAGTCGCTTGATCAGCTCCCAGTGGTGGATTCAGGGCATAGAAGGAGCAGCCAACAACGGATGCCCCATAGCAAGCCTATGGGTGACGTCACCACACAGGTATTTCAGCCATTGTCGGTGATCTCTCCTCTCCCCCAAAGCCAGCTGCTGGGTTGATCATGTGACCAGACCTGGGAACCCTCAGAATAGATAAGTATATGCATCTTGCTTCTATGGGGTAGTTAGTATAGGATTTAGAAGGTGAGTGGCAGCTGGTTTAGGCTTAGTTAATCATAGCCTGAAATTCCATTTTAATGTACAGGAAATTATAGGAGGCCAACATAGAGATAGATTTGAGGAAGGGATACAAAAAGCATTTAAAGGTATAAGTTAGTGAGATTGCAATGAGCAGTTACTTGGATTAAAGGATAGCTTTGTCATACAGTATTTATTATAAGTGATGGTAGTAGTATGGCATTAACTCCATTTATTTACAAATGTAATTTGTTTGTTGGATAATATTTAAAATGTTACTCTAGTACAGTGTTTCTCAACTCCAGTCCTCATGGACCCCCAACAGGTCATGTTTTCAGGATTTCCATTATTTTGCACAGGTGATTTGATCAGTTTCACTGCCTTAGTAATTACCACAGCTGTTTCATCTGAGGGAAATCCTGAAAACATGACCTGTTGGGGGTCCATGAGGACTGGAGTTGAGAAACACTGCTCTAGTGTAAGGTTCATGTTGAAAATGTCCATGCACACGTTCCCAGCTGTATGATTTATTTGATATGCAATTGGAAAGCTGTTGGATTACATTAGAAAAAAAAATTCACTCCCTAGTTTTTGTTTAACCTTGTAATATGATCGCTTTATTTTAAATTATGGAAGCAGCTCAAAGGTAAAGATGCTGGCTTGCTTCCTGATGAGTCACTGAATGTAAATGTAATTACCAGTCTGCATAACTGCTTCATCTGTTCCAGGCAAAAATGAATTAATTGCAACAATTACAGTAGCTTTTTTCAGAGAATGCAATTAAATATTTAAGAACCTTATCTACTTGTGTTATCTGGCACAATCTTTTATAAAATAAATAATAAATAGGATAATATTATCAAGGAAATGAGTATATGCTTGGCATTGACTGTAGAGCATCTTTGTTGATAAACATTATTTAGATAAAATGAACTCAGTTAACTCTAGGAAGGAATGCTTCTACAAAGGTAACCTTAAACCCTTCTTTTTTATAAGCTAAGACAGAGGAACAGATTTTCTAAAGAACCTCTTTAATATAAAGACTATTTGACAAGTAAAATAAAAAAAAGTTAACATATATTGTTAATGCAAAAATTATACTGCTCAATGACCCTACTGTATCTTTGCATCTCAATCTTTAATTTTAAAATCTAAGTTATGGCAGTCTCCCTGAGTTTTTTCTACTACAGCAGGAAATATGCATTAGATAGATACAGTACTGCACAAAAGTTTTAGGCAATTGTGAAAAAAAAATTTCTTTACGCACTTTGCAGGTTGTTAATTGATAGATAAAAACTATACATTTCATTATTTTTGAAAGTTTCCTTACTTTTCAGCATTTCTTTCAGAAGAGTCTGCACAGTACTGTACATGATATCAAATATGATATTGAATAATATCAAGAAAAATATTGATTGTTGATGCATTGATGTTATCAGCTGAATTTGCACATTGCAATTTATTCGGTTGAATATGTATGTATGCAGTTGTATTCAATCTGTTGAAACATGACTTATAATAGCATAGATTCATAGTTTGTATGACTCTCTGCAAGTTATGTAATCATTCAGGGATCTTTATCAGCAGTGCTTAATATTATTTGGGACAATCTTTAAATAGCAGGTTTTCTGAGATTGATACTTCAATGGATGCATTCATTCTATTTTGTCAAAATAATTTAGAATTTTTTTCCTTAATTTGACATTGCTCCTAGCTGTTAAAACCATGTGTAAACCTCATCACTGTGTGCTATGACTTTGTAGTCAAGAGAGTCCAGAGAGTCATTAGAAATTTCTCATTCTTTGAACAGCCCTAAGTTGGGAGTGGTGTGCCCCAGGGTTCTGTCTTAGGGCCAATTCTGTTTAATTTGCTTATAATTGATATAGGGGTGGAAACTCAGTGTTAGCTGATTATACTAAATGGAAATAACTTCATCACAGGCTGTAGCATCATTACAGGAAGACCTCAATAAACTAGGGGTTTGGATAGCCCCATGGCAAACGAGGTTCAATAATGAAAAATGTAAAATTATGTATTTGGTTGCCAAAAAAATCACATGCAAAATACACCTTAGGAATGTCTCCCCTGGGAGAATCAGTGATGGAAAAGGATCAGGGAGAGCTTGTAGCTCACAGACTTAGTGATAACGATAACTTGCAATACTAAGCCACAGTTAACAAAGCTAGCGAAATGCTGTCATGAAATAAAAAGGGCATATATTCAATAGATATATCCATATATAGGCCTCATCTTGAATATATAGTTCAGCTTTGCTCACCAATCCTCATGAAAGACATTGTTAAATTAGAAAGAGTTCAGTGATGGGCTACAAAAACAACATTATTGAAAGCGATGGAGGACCTTAGCTATAAGGATCAAATACATAGAATACAGGTATCCACTCTGGAGAAGAGATGCTTAAGAGTGGATATGATTACAATGTAAAAATGTATCAAAGGTGACTTCAATAACTACAGTAAACAGTTTACTTTAAGGTCTCAGAAGAGGACACAAGGCCAAGAATTGAGGTTAGAAGAAAGAAGATTAAACCTTAGATTGAGAAAAGGGTTCTTTACTGTTGAGCCGTAAAAATGTGGAACATACACATGTAGATTGAACTGGATGGACCTGTGTGTTTTTTCAACCTTACAAGCTACGTAGCCATGTAACAAAGCCATGCGATTGCAATGACAGTTCTGACAGTGCCATACATCACTTTGGCACTAAACAAGGTGTTAGTGTTAGCATTTATGTTTGCACTAGGGTTAGAGCTACCATTACCGTGAGAATTAACACTGGTGTTAGGGTTGCCTTTTTTGGCACAAAAACAGGTTCAAGATAGTGGAAAGAGCTTTCTGAGCTTTCAACCATTTAAAGTTCATTTCAGCCTTTGCAATAAACTTTACATAAATTTTGCCTTCCCTATTTATTGCAATGCATTAAGCTCTCTATCTCTTCATTTTTCTATTTCTAGTCTGCATAAGTACCATATTTCTCGCTCCATAAGACACACTTTTTCCCCCCAAAAAAGGGGGGGAAATGTCAGTGCGTCTTATGGAGCGGCTGATCCGGTATTTCCACCACCGCTTTGTCAGAATACCGGGCCGGCCGCTCAGCTCTTCTCTGCAGCAGAATCTTACCTGTTCCTCGGTCCAGCGCTGCACAGTCTTCCCACTCCAGCTTCTTTAGTGTGGGCTCTCAACTGTGACAGATGGGTGCCCAGTGCGCATGCACGAGAAGCGCTGCACTTTGTGAAGGGTAAGGCATCTTCTGGGACACATGAGAGGTCCCAGAAGATGCCGGACCAATCACAAAGCGCGGCGCTTCTCGCGCATGCGCACTGGGCACCCGGCTGTCAGCCGGGTGTCCGCACTAAAGGGAGGACCACTCCGAGGAGGTGGGAGCTGGTACCTGTCAAATTCAGGTATCGCTCCCCCTCCCTCCCCAAAGGACAGCAGTCTCTTAGTCATCCCCTGTACTGTCCGCAGTCTCTTGGTCATCCCATGCACTGTCCGCAGTCTCTAGGTCATCCCCTGTACTGTCTGCAGTCTCTAGGTCATCCCCTGTACTGTCCGCAGTCTCTGGTCATCCCCTGTACTGTCTGCAGTCTCTAGGTCATCCCATGCACTGTCCGCAGTCTCTAGGTCATCCCCTGTACTGTCTGCAGTCTCTAGGTCATCCCCTGTACTGTCCGCAGTCTCTGGTCATCCCCTGTACTGTCCGCTGTCTCTGGTCATCTCCTGTACTGTGTCCGCAGTCTCTGGTCATCTCCTGTACTGTGTCAGCAGTCTCTGTTCATCTCCTGTACTGTGTCCACAGTCTCTGGTCATCTCCTGTACTGTGTCCGCAGTCTTTGGTCATCTCCTGTGCTGTGTCCGCAGTCTCTGGTCATCCCCCGTACCGTGTCCACAGTCTCTGGTCATCCCCTGTGCTATGTCCGCAGTCTCTGGTCATCTCCTCTACTGTGTCCGCAGTCTCTGGTCATCTCCTGTACTACATCCGCAGTCTCTGGTCATCCCCCGTACCGTGTCCGCAGTCTCTGGTCATCCCCTGTGCTATGTCCGCAGTCTCTGGTCATCTCCTGTACTGTGTCTGCAGTCTCTGGTCATCCCCTGTGCTATGTCCGCAGTCTCTGGTCATCTCCTGTACTATGTCCGCAGTCTCTGGTCATCTCCTGTACTATGTCCACAGTCTCTGGTCATCTCCTGTACTATGTCCGCAGTCTCTGGTCATCTCCTGTACTATGTCTGCAGTCTCTGGCCATCTCCTGTACTATGTCTACAGCCCATTGGTTCAGAATATTTTTTTTCTTGTTTTCCGCCTCTAAAACCTAGCTGCGTCTTATGGTCAGGTGCATCTTATGGAGTGAAAAATATGGTAAATTTCTATATTGGAGACAACTGCAACTAATTGCAGTTTTCAATACTTCTTTATAACTGTGAAGCACTGTCAGTAATATGTATTTTTGTTTTCAGAATGCTTTCAATGTACTGTATTTTTATATTAAATTTTCAAGTAAACAGAGCTTACAAATAAAGAAAAAAATAATTGTGAAACATCTATTACATTTTCATTTCTCTTGAGATTCTGAATAGCAATTTCCCCCACCCTTCTTTCTCATAAAATTCATTCATCATAAATTTTAAAAAGAAAAAAAAAAATCTTAACAGTAGAACTTTTCCCTGAAGGTTCCAATCCAATTATACAAAGATTACATAGCTCAAAAAAAACTGAGTCAGTCCAAAATGGTACTTTTGTGGCTACTATGAACGGATATGAAATGAAATTTCTGTGATTGATATTTTTACTTCAAAGCAAAGGTCATGTTTTAAAATTCCTTGATGGTTTGCAGCATTTAGAATAAAAAAAAGTCTCTGAAATATTTCTTACCGTTAAGTACAGGTTTCTGATGAAACTTGTTAAGATGTCTTCAACATGAAAAGGTTAGCCAACACTCCTAAAGACATCCTAAAGGTCAATGTGTATATAATTGTCTTTTGAAGGTAGATTAACACAGAAGAAGAACTCTGCAAACCATTTACTGTATTTTCCGAATATAAATTTTTCCTAAATGTCAGAGATTTATTATCCTCAACTCCTGAAGGGGTGTCATCAGGTGGTATGGACCTCAGCAGCAAGCACTTGTGCCGGGCGTGTGGTGCCAGGCTAACTTAGAACCCTCCATTATTTTTGTGAAGAGATGAGGAACTATCAAAGCTGAGATTCAGACACAATTGATAAATCTCCTTTTTAAATGATGACAACCCTTGTGAATTGTTCTGCCCTACAAAAACAAGCAATGGAGGAGGTTTTTCTTTCAGAATGCTGAGAAGAGTAATTTCCATATGTTATAGTCTGTTTTTGGTATGATGATACCTTAGACACAGTACTCGCTGAAATGGGATATCAATAAAACCAAAGTTTGAAGATTTCAGGGAATTAATGCAATAGAAAAATGAAAGAAAACAATTCAAGTAAATTTCCCTAATTTGGAGCAATATCAAATATAGAATGTGATGATAAGAACTGTGACGCAAACAATTTTCTTTTATAGCAGATAGAAAACTAGTTGGGTGTTCAAAAGTCCCCTAAAACCAGTCAACCAGGTAGGGGCAAACCACTTATTAGCGAATGGTACAAAAGCTTCCTCCCTTACCGGGACCCCACCCGGGTAGCAGGAGTGCTGAAAAGTCTGACGCCTTTCAAGATTGGGGCACCAGTGCTTTAGATAGATTTCAGTTTTATTGGGGAACTCAATTCAAAGCACACCCCAGTGCTAACTGCTAAGGGGCTTGAAAGTTGTAAAAAGCATTTCAGGGGGCTGCATGCTCGTTGTCACCTTACTATGGTGATACCAGCCTAAAGCCTTTAATGCTGGGTTGGTTGGCTCTGGGAAAACGGAGCCATGTCATTTTTTTTACTTAAAATTAAAGTAAAAAAGTAACTCTAGGGGGAAGATTTACTAAAACTGAAGAATGTGAAATCTGGTGCAGCTAAGTATAGAAACAAATCAGCTTCCAGGTTTCTGAAGTTAAAAGCTAACTGACTACCATGCACAGCTGCACCAGATTCTTAGTGCTCCAATTTTAGTATATCTCCTCCCTTTTCAGCACTCCTGCTAGAAGTACTAAATATGCATTAAAAATGTGCACTCTCCAAGCGGGTGATAACGTTTGTAAGGTGGTCCATCTTATACATCTTCTGCAACAGCGGAAAATCCCGGGATTCTTACTGTGCTTAGACGTATATAAAGCTTTTGACTCTCTATCCTGGGAATATCTGCGGTTTGTGCTGTCTCGTTGGGGTTTTGGGGATTCTATCCTTTCTTGGATTCAAGCCTTGTATTCGTCTCCTTCGGCCTCCGTTAAATATGCTGGGTATTTCTTGAACCCCTTTCCTATTGGGCGAGGGACGAGACAGGGCTGCCCCTTGTCCCTGGCGCTTTTTGTACTGGCGCTTGAGCCGCTGGCTTTAGCGCTCCGGACCGATTGCAATATATCGGGGGTTTCATACGCGGGACAGGAGTTTAAGCTGAATCTTTTTGCGGACGATGCCCTCTTGACTCTTACTAAGCCTCTGACGACGCTTCCTAATCTGCAACGGGTTCTTGAGCGCTTCTCTTTGATTTCGGGTCTCCGTATTAACTTGGATAAGACTTTCGCTCTTAATATTACTTTGGATTCCGATTTGGTTTCACGCCTTCAATCCTACTTCCCTTATAAATGGGCTTCCTCCTCTCTTGAATATTTGGGCATCCGCTTGACCCCCACCTATGACTCCCTCTTTGCTGCGAATTATTACCCATTGCTTAGTTCTTTATCTTCTCTTCTGCATTCCTGGCAATTTCCGCACCTGTCTTGGATAGGGCGGGTTCATTCGGTGAAAATGCCGAAATTGTTATATTATTTTCGTACTCTCCCGGTGCGGGTTCCCCCTCATTTCCTTCGGTTGCTTCAGGCGAAGCTTATGCGTTTCATCTGGGCCAATAAGCACCCCAGAGTATCTAGAAATACGCTTTTTGCTCATAGACTGTCAAGGTCCTACCTTTTCCCTGAGGTTATGTTACTCCATGTGCTGGCGTCCATCTTGGATTCTGCTGTGCATGATTGGAATCCTTTTATGCCTTCAGGTCTCTGAGGTCCACCCCCCAGAGGGGCGTGGCTGATGACATATAAGCCTGTGGCCCGCACATGCTCTTTGCACTTGTGTCTTGTGTCTTTGTGTTACTATTACTCTGTTCTGACTCTTGTGACTCTCCTGGTATTCTGATTCGGCTTGTGACTTGACTATTCTTTGTATTCTCCTTTGATCTGACCCTCTGTTGCTGAACCCGGCTTGTGACCTGTGATTCTCGTCTGCTGTCCTGTACTGTTTTGTCCTGTTGTTGTTGACCCCGGCTTGTCTGACTACTCTTTTGTTTCTTCCACCAGCTACACGCCATTGGCGGTGGCCATTACCGCAGCTGAGGTGTCTCGGGGGCCGCGACCTGGTTCCTGGCTGCGTCAAGTCCATCCCCACCATCAGGGGCCCTGGTGAAGGGCAGCCTGGGACTTAGACTCCGCGCCCTGAGGGACTTCGGTCTGTGGGTGGTGGTTGTTGTCAGCCAGTGCGTTACATTGTTAGGCCTGCCTGTCCGTTCCTCGGCTCCTGCCCTGACATTACACAAGTGCCATGAACCCTGACGGTGCAGGCACGCTTTCGCTCCCAACGTAGTCGCCAGACTCGATCAACAGGATCACCTGTTGGATCAGTTCGCTCAGGCGTTGCAAACTCTGCGTGAACGCACTGCACACCTTGCTCCTGGTGCTATTAGGCAGGTAGTCACTCCGGTGGTCTCTCCCGCTGCTTCTCCGCCTATTGCGTCCACCACACCTCGGTGGCTGCATCAGCGGCACCCAGAGGTATGACTGGCTCTGCCCCTCTTCCACAGCGCTTTGGGGGTGAGCCGAGTCAGTGTCGTGGGTTCCTCAACCAGGTGGGTATTTATTTTGAATTAATACCCCACGCCTTCCCGTCTGAGAGGTCAAAGGTTGGGTTCCTAATTTCACTACTCGCAGACAAGGCCTTGGACTGGGCAAATCCCTTATGGGAGAGGAACGACCGGGTGATTCAAGATTTTTCCGGTTTTGTCGATGCCTTCCGTAGGGTATTCGATGTACCGGCTCGTTCCGCCTCGGCGGCCAAGCTGCTCATGACCATGCATCAGGGTTCACGGACCGTGGCCGAGTACGCCATAGAGTTTCGTTCTCATAGAGGCTCTGGTGGCTGCATTTTCCCATGGTCTTTCTGACACACTGAAGGACGAGATTGCAGCTAAGGAACTGCCTGTGGTGTTGGAGGAGCTCATCTCTTTTCCTGATCCAGATTGACACCAGGCTCAGGGAGAGGCCTTCACTCAAGGAACGCCTGCGGAGGCCTTCCAATCGACTGGCACCTGCGTTTTCTGTCCCACCCGTTCCTCCCTCTCCTCCCTTGCCTCCTGGGGATGGATTGTCTGGTGGTGAGCCCATGCAGCTGGGGTTTGCTCGCCTTTCCGAGGGGGAGCGGGGCCGCTCGGCGTCGGGAGGGTCGCTGCCTGTACTGTGGTCTTGGTGGGCACTTTCGGCAGTCCTGTCCGGTCCGTTCGGGAAATGCTCGCACCTGAGATCCTGTCGGGGACAGATCTTGGGTGGAGTCTCCTCGTCCCCGGCGTTCCGCAGAGATAAGCCACTGATCACCGTTGTCCTCTCTTGGGCGGAGGGCTCGGTGACGGCCCAGGCATTGGTAGATTCTGGGGCCAGCGGGTTGTTTATGGACAGCTCGTTTGCTGCCCAGCACTCCATTCCCCTGCAGGCTCGAGTTACCCCATTGGTTCTCGAGGCGATAGATGGCAGGCCCCTGCAACCACCGCAGGTTACCCACGAGACTGTGCCAGTGGAAGTAGCTATTGGGGCTGTTCACAGGGAGTTGGCCTGTTTCCAGGTGATTTCTTCTCCGCACTATTCGGTGGTTTTGGGGTATCCCTGGCTCCAGATGCACAATCCAACCTTCAATTGGCAAACAGCCGAGATTCTCTCGTGGTCTCCACAGTGTGGGGCCGGGTGCATCCGTGGGCCGGTTAAGGTGTTGTGTGC